AATTGAGGACATAACCCCGAGTCAGAATATCACAAGCCCATCGAAGGTTCTTGAGAGGGACTTCGTCCTCAAGAACACTGAAAGGCAAGTGACAGAAGGCCGCAAGTAGGAATTGGGCTTGCTTCCGCTCAGCTGGAGTAGAAGGAGGTGGAGGCTTGTAAGGTAGAAAGACCTTATCCGCGGAGAGGGCAAGCCTCAGTCTCTCTGTCCAGCAAAGAGTTGGCGGAGGAGAAGGTATGGAAGCCTCCACTTCAGGAGGAGGAGCAAGGGCAGAAGGAACAAGGGCATTAATATAATCGAGCTAGTCAGAAAAGCAATGTTTCGCCTTCTAGGCTAAGAACGATGGATTGTATCCTTGTGCCTCTTCAGGGCGTCGGGCAGTGTGCACTATCTTTGTAGGCATGGGGGATGTGTACCATGCTACAAGCAGATTCTTCTCTAAACTGGGTTGACGGTCGATGGGCACGTAAGGATAAACCACCGAGCTTCGCTCATAGGAAGGGAACTCTAAAGGGTCAGTAAACTCGACAAAGTGATGGTTGATTCACTCTCTTAAATCACAGGCCTCAGGTTTTGACCAGCTTGTCCAGTCAGAAGCCCCAGAGGAAGAAGAAGCTGCAGCCTTATCCCATGCAGAGGGTTGTGAAGAAGAACTTCTCATGTCCATATTTGTGACTTTCTGAATCAAATAATTGAGAGTAGTTTGTTCGTAGTCCAAGGGTGAGTCAGAAGAAGAACTTCCCATGTCCATATTTGTAAGTTTCTGAATCATAGGATTAAGGGCAATGTGATCGTAGTCCAAGGGTTGATAATTTGCAAAGGCATCCATGACCTGAATATAGAAAGGTGGGTAAATGTGACTAATTAATGCATGGAGATTCTTTCAAGGAGGAACATCATCATCAGATGACTCTTCGTGTGCTAGATCAATAGAGAAGAAAATTGATTCGGCCATAGAAAATGTATCAGTCTGTTTGAATACTAAGGTAGTGGGAGTTCAAAAGATTGAAGGAGAGTTTAATGCAGATGATGAATGACAGTTGCATTTTTGGAAGAATGCAAAGCCCATGCACATTCTAAGACGTGGATAAAAGACCTTGATCCACTAATATCACCAAGTATTGGATATATTAGTGCGGGGGGTAATGTTGGCTACATATTTTGTACAAGTCAATTACAATTCGACGCGTGGCAGAATAAGGGTAATACATGAAGATTATTCAAGTCTTCGATCCTAATCGCACATGTGGCAGTTAGTATTGGTTATTGCGAGATCTGAGTAGCAGTGAATCAACAAAGAGATGCAAATGGAGCTAATTATAGGGCAACATGATCAGCGATCATGGAGGAGCAGTTCGACGATTAGAAATACAGTTCGATGGTCATCCTTGAGCAGTATAAATAGCAAAGAAGGCCCAGAAAAATAGCCCCAGACTCAGATCCAAAAAACCAGTCTTATTCTACTTATTTTCCTTTCCAGTTTTATATTCTAGTCTTACATTTCCTGTTCTTTACATTCCTGTACTTTAAATTCCTGCACTGCACTTCGTTTATAGAAGTAATTTCAAGTAGTAGATTGTTGCTGTAAACCTCTACGAGGCTGAGTTTGGATCATTGTAAGTTTTTCATTTTGATGAAATGCTTCAATTGTTCTTCATTTAATTGTTATCTTGCTTAATTCTCCTAAATCAAGTCACTAGTAAAAATCTTCTTCATTGAGACTGAAAGAACTAAAACACAATCGTCTGATAATTGGTTGGCAATTAATTTTCTGTAAGGACTGATTGATCCATGCCGGCACGCTTGCAATTACAAAAATAACCTTCGAAAGCCAAAAAGCCAACAGATTCACATTTTTGTAGGGAGATGTACAATAGAGAATATGAAATAAGAAAGGAATAATAGAAATAGGGTTGCAAGGGTGTTAATTGGGGCAGTAGGATGACTTCAGGAGCAATCAGAAGTTGTAGGGTAGTGGTGGAAAGTAGTGGTTGGAAGTAGAATAGGTAGGGTTTGAAGGTTGAGTGTAAGGAGAAAAAAAAGGTTAGAAATGATGATAAAAGTGAAATTATAGAGTGTGTAAAGAGATAAAATACTTTTTGAATAAAGTATAAATAAAACAAGAATATTACTATTCAAACTCAAAAATCAAACACACTTTCTAAGTCCAATAGTGTAACCAAATAGGATAATGGTGTAAGAGTCTCTCCAACAGTCTTTATATTCTCACTTTTTCCTTACTTTAAGAAGTGAAATACAAAATAATTCCTTCTAATAGTCTCATTACTCATTTCCTTATTTAAGAGCATCTCCAACAATTCTCTCTAAATTTTCTTCAAATCTTAGTTAAAAAGTGTCTTTCCTATTTTAGGGAACCACTTTTTCAACTATCATTTCTAACAATACTCCCTATTTGTTCTCTATATATTTTAAATATTTGTTTTTTATTATGTTTTATTAAAAATATTTTTCCAAACTTTATTCTCTCTCCTCCACCATTCGAGAAAAATATGAGGGATAAGACAAAAAGAATAATTTTTTAATTTTAGGGAGTGATTGGATCGAAGAGCGGACCTGGCGTAACGATAAAGCTATCTTTTGGTGACCTGGTGGTCACGGATTCGAGTCGGGGAAATAGTTTCTCTGTTTGCAAGGGTAAGGTTGCGTACATCAACCCTTCCCTAAACCCTGCTTAAACGAAAGTTTCGTATACTGGGTATACCCTTTTAGATAATGATTGGATCCTCCCTAAATGTAGGGAACCATAAGTTTACACCCTTAAATCGAAAGTTGAGTAGGGAGGCTATCGGAGGGACTTATTTTATATTGGACTCCCTAGTTGAGAAAAAATAGGAATACGGAATTGGGGATGCTCTAAGAGAGTAAATTTTTGGCTTCTTACATTCAATGATATTTTTTTCACAAATATTATACTTTTTAATTGTATTTATATTAAGTATACTTAAAAAGAAAAAAATTGCTTAAAATATTTAAAAAATTCATTAAAAACAAAAAAAATTACGAAAAACAAAATACTCAATTTTCAGAAAATTGAATTCTAAAAATTATAACAAAAAATAGTGGAGAAGAGAGGAAAAATACCAAAAAATATTTTTAATAAAAAAAGATAATGAAAAAATATTTTTTAAAAAATTTAAAACATATAGAAAAGAAAATAAAGAATATTATTAGAGTATCTACATGAAGCTCAACAAAGGCAGATTTTAATTAAATATATATAACAAATCATAAAATTGTTACTCTATTAGTCTCAACAAATTATTTTAAAATAGCTTTTGGTTAATTTTGCTATAGTACATCATTATATGTAGTGATATATTGTTCACATATTATATAAGAGTGCTCGAACATCTTGCCAAACGATTGACTATTGCACAATTATTTTATTTTATTTTATTTTTATTTTTTTTTATGAAACTGCATAGATATAGTAGTCATTTGAGAAGTTGAGCTAGGGTGGGTTGAGGCTCAAAAATAGTCACAAAAAAATAAAATAGATTTTTTAATTTCAGGCTAAAAGTTATCACATCTAAATCATAATTATTTTATTTTTTCTCTTATAAAAATCAAAAAACTTATCTTAAACGATGTGTTTTAACCCTAGGCTAATAGCCAAAAAACTAAAAATCAACCCACATCCTAGACGAAACTTAATAAAATTTCTTGTACATTATGTCCACCTGGACAATCAGCTACTGGGCATATTTTTTTTTTAACTATGAAGCTGCATATATGTATCTACATATAGATATAATGACAATACAAAATTAACTTCTCCTATACTACTTTGGCTACTTTTTAACAATATAAATAAAATTTAATTTTAGAATAGAGTCCAATGTATTGAGTACATAAAAAAAATGCTAAGTTATGTTAGGAATCTCAAATAATCTATCAAATTTTTTACAAAATTACTTACATGGGTGTAGAATCCACACAAATATGGGTTTGTGTGAGCTCCATACTCATGTGAGAGGTTGGACAAAAAATTTGATAAATTATTTGAGATCCATAACATTTTTAAAAAATACTAGCTAAAACAAAAAATAATTTTTTAATTAAAATTTGATTCAAAAATTTTAAAAATATTAAATTTCCAAAAATACCCTTTGATAGTATATGTTTTTAAAAAGGGCCTGGCTTTGGTCCAGTCCACCATCGGGCTGGACTATGCTGTTGGGCCCGTGGGGACCCACCACGGGTCCCGTTTTGAAATCTAAACCGTTCAATGTGTAGAACTCGTCGAGTACTATATGTCTGTGAAAAATCACGTTGATCGAATATCGATAGTTATGTGATCAAAACAGTTTTTTATCAACCGTTAATTTATTCACCGTCCATTTTTTTTACACAAAACTGATTTGATCACATAGCTATCGATATCCGATCAACGTGATTTTTCATAGGCATATAGTACTCGACGAGTTCTACACATTGAATGGTTCAAATTTTCAAAACGAGACCCATAGTGGGCCCCCACGGGCCCAACAGCACGGTCCAGTCCAATGGCAGACTGGACCAAAGCCAGACCCTTTTAAAAATATCAATTGTCATAATTGTATATTTTGTATTGTTAATAAATTTAAACGAAGGGCAAAATAAAAAATTCATATTATTTTAGTTTTTAATTTTTTGAAAATGGACTGATATTTTGAGATAATGAAAAATAAAATAAAGGAATAATATTTTGAGATGAAAGGAATAGTAGTTTTTTTTTTAATTTTTATTTATGATGGAGATAAATACGAGATTAATATTTTGAGAGGGAATAGGTTATTTTTTATTTTCTATGATTGAGATGAATACTTTGAAAAAGTGCTTTTTTAATTAAAATTTTAAAATAAATTAGGGAGAATTGTTGGAAAGACTTGAAGAGAATTACTTAAATAATTTATTAAATTTTTTTATCAAATTTATCGTATAAGTGTGAGTACACACATAAATTTGTAAGAATTGTATTCCTATGTGAAGCACTTGACAAAAAAAAAAAAAAATTTATTTAAGATCATAGTATTTTCCTTACCGTTTTCCTGCTCTTTGTTTCCGTCTAAAAAATGTCAAGTCAGTTGACAGATTTGCGCATTGGATCTCTCTTCCTTGATAAGGGGACTCTCTCTCTGTCTCTCTGTCTCTCTCTCTCTCGCTCTCACCATATGCATTCATGGCTGCTTTATTCCATTCACCTTCTTCTGTTTTTTTTTTTTTTTTGCTTTTTTTCGCCTTGTTTTTTTACCCCTTGGACGTTGCAAGCAATGGGTTGCAATGCAAGAGTTTCAATCTCCCTTGGCTGTGCGGTTTCTCCTGTTTATTATATATAGTTTATTTCAGTTTCATACCTTCAACTTTTCTTACAACTTTTAGGTTTGGAAGCTGCTCTGTTTTATGCCTAAATGATTGAATCCCTATATTTTTCATTTTGTTGATCACTTATGTATTGCTCACAAGATGTTTGATGAAATAATTCAGGGTTATACTTGTTTACAGAGATGAATTTGTTATATTAATGTTGTGTTTGGTTGGGGGATTTGATGGGGGATTTGGAAAGAGAAATGGAAAATGTAAGTGAAATGAGACTAAAATATGCCTAAATTTCACATAGTTTCACACACCTTTTTCCTTTCCCTTTCCAAATTCCTCCCCAAATCCTCCAACCAAACACAGCATAAGTGTCCCCCCTGAACATGTCATTCCCAGTGCTGTTGAAAAACTTATTGTGTATACCAGTAGTATGCAAGAGTAGAACACCATCCCAAACCTTAGTAAGCAAAAGACAGTAAAAAGTAATAAGTGCTGAAAAATTCAGGATTGCAAAAATAGTGAATATCTTCAGTCCAATATAACTTATAAGTTGAAAACAATGTTCTCTATCTAAATTGGAGAAGAAAGTCAATGGCTAGAGATATAAACAATGTTCTCCATCTACATTTTATGCATGGTTGGGTTGGTTTAGAACCCAAGTGTAATCAATAGCTACAGATGTTGTATTAAAAAGAATATCATGTTGGAATATAATGAATAACTTCAGTTCTCTTTATTCTATTTTCATATCTATTTATTATTGCATGAGTTAGGGATAAAATGATGTTCTTTCTTGTGGTCTTAAATACTAATGCAGTGTTTGGTTCATTAGAATGCAATGGAACGGTTTTCTTTAGCCTCCTTATAGAATGACTACTTTGTTTTGCAGCAGTAGCATTGGCTGGTGTGTTTTGTTTGATATTTAGAATATTATTTTTTTTATATGGCAGAGCATTGATAGTCTACTTGTTCTGTATTTTGTTTTTTTGTTTTTTGTGAGGCTTAGACTTTGATGTTTATTTACATGCTGTGTTTGGTTGGGGGATTTGAGAAGAGATTTGAAAAAAGAAATGAAAAAGGAAGGTGAAATATGAATAAATTATACTAGTTTTACACACATTTTTCCTTTCTCTTCCCAAATCCCTTCCCAAATCTCCCAACCAAACACAGGCTTAGAGTCTTAAACTCTAGTGTTCTGGAAGTTTGCATAACACTTGCAGGTGTTTACTACTTGTAGATATACACATTTATTTTTATGTTTTTGAGGTGCTCTTTAATATTTGATGTAAATAGATTGATATTGAAATCTAAGGTAATGGATTTTTGTCGTCCAACAAAATAGGAGTATCTTTCTTCATTTGGTTGTGTATAACTTTGTTTTGTAAGTCTTTTCCAACCTGTGTGACTAACATATGTGCTTTTTTTGTTGTCTCTTTTCTATCTCATTTTCTTTTGAATCCTCTTGGAATATGAGGACAACAGAATGATGGTGTAGTACTTTTGTTGTCCCATTGTTCTTACCTTGAAGCTCATGTTTTAAAAATATAGGTAGTAAAACTAGATGAGGAAATTGTGAAGAATATGGAAGCTGTAATGTGCGTGGTGCCAAATCAATCAACAACTAAGATATATCATAAATGCTGAACATTAAGCACGCTTTTTTTTGAATTATATTTTGAAAAATGTAGGCCAAAAGAATGGCCGAAGTGCACAGATGTTGTCATTGCCCCACACAGTGAATAGCTAATGAACAACTACTAGCTCAATCGATTTTGGTTTATAACTTGGCTTGAAAATCACAGCTCTTATATTTTCTGCTTTATTCTATCTGATCTGACTTTATATCAGTGTTCTTTTTTCGTTTCATTTTATTTCAGTATTGATATTAGGACAGCTATTGGACGACTGTCACATTATTTTACTTTGGCCATTTTTTAAGGCAACAATTTCAACTTTAAATTTTCTTCTTGAAGTGTGTTTTCATTTACATGATTGGTTTAGCCACATTGGGGCATAATAATATGAATGCAATAATGATTTTTTGTTAACAACTGATTTGGATAAGTTGAATTAAAGAACGGGTTTACTTAACTTTGGTTTGAATATACACTATATATATGTCTTCCACGTCTTAAGTTTCACAAATCGTGAGTGGCATGGATGATTTTTTTGTAGAGCAATTTTATATGAGAGTGCATTTAGGCACGGGTGATATGCTAGTAATTACAATAAGGGTGGCATCTTAAAAAATAAAAATAAGATTATTTTTATCCCAATTTTCTATGTCTTTCTTCTCCTTCCCCTTCCCTCCATTGCTTTCGCATGACTCCTCATCAAGTTGTTTAAAAAGTGGTGCATAGTTTGCCTGAATTTCAACTCAAACGATAGCATGACTTAATTCACACCAATCGTAATCGCCCATGTGGCTCTTGTCAAAAGCTTTTATTCTCTAGAGAACTTTTTGGTACATCACTAATTAATGTTGACTACCCCATGATCTCTTCCTTCTTTGAACCTCTGTTAATAGCCCACATCTCACGCCACACATCCACTAAACAGCTCGAGTACATACCTATCTATTCTCGAGCAAGTGGTTGAGCAGCGGGAATAGTGGTTTGATTCAAATCTAAAAATCTACTTAAAGCTCAATGGTGGAAAAAAATAAAATTGGAAACCCAAACCCAATAGCACCAAACTTTCTCTAAATTTATCATATTTGTCTCAGGTATTAGATCTCTCTCAACACAGGAATTTGTTTGTGTTTTTGTTTTTTCCACTTTTTTATGCTGTCTTTGTTTTGATTTGTGTTTTGTGTTTTGTGTTTTGTTTTTTAAAATTGTTGGGAGTTTCAGAAATGGATTTTCATAGCATGAAAAGGGAAGAACTTCAAGCGCTATGCAAGAAGCACAAAATTCCTGCAAATTTAACCAATTTGGAGATGGCTAACAAGCTTTCCTCTCTTCTTGAGGTGCACCCATTAATCACACATCTCCCCTGCTATTGCTTATCTATCTATCTATCTATTTAGCTTGTTTAGAGTTAATTGAATGAATATTTATGTAGTTCTACAATTTATTCAGGAGAAAGAAAAACCCAATAGACGAGGTCAGTCTTGCTTGAACTTGAAGAATAAGGGTGAAATAGTGAGTGAAAATGATTCCAATGGTATAACTAGGCAATTCAAGAAGGTTAGGTTAAGTCCTGAGAATGAAATGGTTGATTTTGTGGATTTGGAGGCTGAGCCTGTGGAGATGAAGAGGGTGGAGAACCCAGTTAGAAAAACTAGGTCTCGGGGCACAAAAGTCTCTGATTGAAGGTGTAATTTCACAAGTTTCGCCTATAATTGAGAAGAGAATGAGAAATTGTGAGAGATCTGATATTGTGGAAGTGAATGATTGTAGTAGAGGTGATTACCCACCTCTAGTTGTGGACTAGTCTGATAATTCAGCCCCTGACTGTGCTGCTGTGGAAGAAATTGGAGTGCCAACAAGGAGATCTTTGAGGAATCGAGAGGTACTTGGCACTCTAATTTCTGATAGAATAGATAGAACTGCTAATAATACTGGAAAGAATATGCCATGGAAGAGGAGAAGAGACCCAATTCTTGAAGAGACTCTGGTGACTGAGGGTGCTTCCTTTTTTGAAGAACCTCCCACATGGTCTAAACATAATGCCGAAACTACAGATTTTGAAGAAGTCAAAGCTCTCAAAATGGCGAATTCAGTGGAGATTCTAGCTACCAAGTCTGTGAAGTTTCAAAATGATAACGTAGAGAAAGAAACTTTGTTTTCTGTTAGTGGATCTGAGGTTGACAAAGAGAATCCCCTTCAAGATGATATTAGTAGGGTCAATGAGGATGATTTGGCACTACACTCCAGCAAAAGTACAGAATTTGAGTCCAATAATTTGTTTGAGCCTGAGGAAGACTTGAAAGTGTCTATGGATCCGGGTGTCCCTCAAGCCACATCAGGAGACGAATGATTGCTACTCACCGGTTGAACGAATTGATTCCATGGGTAAGGTGTTTATTTGCCTTTCACTGAGTTGTTTTGTTCTCTATTTATGCAGTTTCTAACAGTGTATTTCATACTTCGCAGCTAAGCATTCTGAGAATATGGATCTAGGGAAGGAAATGGAAAGAGATGAAGACCCCACCACAACAGGCAAATACATAGACTCAAGTTGCGTTGTGGCCCATAATGGAGTTGATGATGACAAAGTTTCTGTTTTTGCAGAGCAGAACTTACTTGAGTTTGAAGATGGTGACAGCCCTGGTGAATTAAAGAACCTGGAGTTGGCTGTTGAGGACTATTTAGTTGAATCTAATGAATGCAGTAGTTCAATGAAAACCTCTGAAAATGTCTATGTGGAAGCTGGGCAAATTAGCATTGTTGATCTCTCTGAGATGGAAAGAATCAGGCCTACTACAGATTCTGGATTGTCTGAGAGAGAAGTTGCAGACAGTGCCGGCAATCCAGCTTTAAGCAGCAGCAAGAAAGTTTCTGAAGATACTTACATAAGAAGACAGGAATCTAGCAGCAATTCTTGTTTGAAGAAGCAGTGTCGTTTAATGGAGGTTTGCACGCAAAATACAGACATTGATGAGATCAGAGCTCTGATGATGGTAGAAGGCACTCCATCGTCCAATTCTGTGAAGTTGCAGAGTGATTCTGTAGAGCTAGGACAACATGTTCCTGCCAGTGAATCCTTGGTTGTTACAGAGACAGAAAACATTGTACTGGTGGTGGCTAGCAATAAGAATTTGTTCCAGGATGATATACACAAAGGTGATGATCATGATTTGGTTTCTCGATCCCAGATCCAAAGTGGAGATTTTGATCACAAAACCTTAGTCAACCTGGAGCCAGTTGAAGACCAAGATAAGGTGTTGTACAAATTGTGTAATTAAACAAGATAAATAAATTCATGATTAATCAAATTACATAATAGAATAAGAAAACATGTTGAATATTACAACCATAGAAATACACAATACGATAAAAGGTAAAGAAAGCAAACTGAAGCCTGTGTAATACCACAGTGTCCTTAAAACAGATTAGCCACCTCACCATAGGTGCTGGAGGTATGTCGACTTCTGTCTCCCAGGATACGACGGTCAAAACCAATTAATGCAGAAGCACCTTCTGAATAGCTTTGGTGAACTTGATAATGGTTACACTCACTCTAACAAGAACCAAAGAAGGGACTAGCAAAAGAAGAGAAGAAATTTTTCTTTGGTGTAAAAACCATCTCCAACTTTTTTATCTCAAAACAACATTTCCATTTTCCATTAAAAGTCTTTCTTGAACTCTTCTACTAAGTTGGAGGGGAAATGCCTCTATTTATACAAGTAGGGGAATCCCTAGCCATAAAGGCTATACATCAATAGGGCCATCAAATGCCATTAACCAAGGCCATCAATTCTCGCCATTAGGGCTAGAGTTACTAAGGTTGAAAACCTATGGCCACTAATATGGTCATCAACTCCATCATCAAAAGATGAGAATTACAAAGGTCTAAACCTCCTATGTGCTTAATATATACCAATAAATATGTATATAATGATGTTTGAATAAATCAACTAGATGGGTCACACAATGGATACCAATGTTGGGTTACAACCCAATCCAAACCCCCTTCTCATACACATATACAAGCTAAGCCCAACACAACATAGCTTAGCTCAAGCTTAAGATTAAGTCCAAGTCCAAGTCCAAAACCAAACCCAACACATGCATAAGTACAAGTACAAGTCTAGGCCCAGTCTAAATTAAGACTAAGTCCAAATCTAAGTCCAACTTTTATTAATATCCACTTTATGAGACAATTCTCATTCACATCTCAATGGTTTCGGCCCATCATTTTTATATTGTAATCTTCGTACTTGAGAGAATACAAAACCACTCAGATCCACCTCTCAGACCCACCTCAACCAACAGTTGGGTCCCACTTTAATTTCGAATTAAAGTTGCCGAAAAATCATTATTTTCCAACATAAGGTTGGTAATGTGGTTATTACTGAACCCACCTTCGGAGCTGATGGCTTCTCACCTGTCCGACAGGAAGAGCATGTCGGTATGTGAATTATTTGCCTTTTGAGTATATAATTTACTGTACAAGATTCTCATGAATTGCTAACTTTATTGATCAATGATATGGTGTACCTTACTCAGGAAGTTTGTTAATTGCGGAATTTTTATGTTTTATTTCCTGATGCGCAGAAGATGACCTCAAAACACTGTTTGCTACACCAGACAAAAATACAAATCCTGGTGAAGAAGCAGCTTCTAGTCATGAACCTGAAATGGATGACTTAAGAATGCAGGAGGGCTCAACTATAAGCAACATGAAGAATGGAAGGGTAAATCATGGGGAGTCGCAGGAAGTTATTGGATTAACAGAAAATGACGATGAGAAAATGACATATAAAGAAAATGCATCACCAGCTGCCACTGAAGAGAAGGTTACCAAAGTGAATGGCACAACTGAGAAAGTGCTTGAACTCGTGGGAAATGAGTTTATTGCAGAATGTCATGTGGTGGATGCTAACATTGATTGTCAATGCTCTGAAGCAACAATTCCTCACACAGCCCATTTTGCTCCAGAATATCAAGGTGCACAGTGATTTTTTAAAATTTTATTTTGTAAATAAAGCTGTTCTTAACCCTCTCTATTATCTGATGAAGTTATTTACTTGTTACAGCCTCTGGCACTAGTGACAAAGAGATGTCCTCCAGTGAGCTCAGGCTCTCCATCGATAATGAAATTCAAGATGAAGGTTACTGTCACCCCTCTCTTTAGCAGAATCAGCTAACTCATCACAATTACATTTACTATTTTTTTTTAAAAAAAAATCATTTTCTTCATCAATATGCAGGAACAAAAGCCATTGCTAATGACTTTTTGAATTTACCAGTTATTCAATCTGCTATTGTAACTGAGGCTAAGGATAGTGATAAAAGCATTGAAAGAGATCTTCATGTCGAGTGCAGTAAACTTGTCACTGAGGAAGAAAATGTAGAGTTTTTGTCAGAGATTGGGTTTGGGGATCCCAACAACTGCCAGGAACTGGTTCCTCAAAGTGATGCAGGCTTGACTGAGACCCCGTGCAAAGAAAGTGAAGTTTCTGAGGAAAAAATCATGGTTGAATTTATCAAAAGCTCTTCCAAATGCATCGACAAAGCCAATATGCTGAAGGAGGAAGTGAATGAAGTCGCTTTGACATCATTTGGTCAACTGGGGATCAGTAAGATTGTTTTTGATCATGGGGATGAATTTGCCATTACGAATGCTAATGGTCTAGATGCTTCAGATATGTTATCGGAAAAGGATGCAAAAGAAAATGTGATTTTAGCCGTTACAAAAGCTGATTTTAAGGACAGTGATAATGTGAACAGTGTTGTGCCAGAACACAATGAAGTGAAACACAATGATTACAATATTGACAAAGACGGAGTGGTTGCAGAACTGGAGAAAGGCACTTTTACTGATTCAGATGAGATCATATATGGAAAAGAAGATGAGGATTTATCGGACATCTCCAATAAATTTGAGGTGGATGTGCCACAAGTTAATGAAATGAAGTTGGAGCTGGATGAAGGTGCCTATCTTACTTCACATGATTTTGTCTCTTGAATCTTCTACATACCCAATATTAATTTTATGATATTTATTGGAGAATGATATTGACTTGTATTCTTTTTTTTATATGAGTTTAGCATTGTCAACAAACGAAAATTCACTTTATGAATATACAATGCAGAACAAAATAGTGAATCTCATGTACACCAAGGTGGCCTCAGCTCTGGTGCAGAAGGAAGTGAGGCAACTGAAGTTGATCAAGTCGACCTGTTTGATGATCATGGTTTGACAGTTTTGTCTCTTGTTTCTATTGACTGCAATGAAGACAGAGGTATAAACTTCTGGTTTTGGAGTTGGAACTTTATACACCACAGATGAGAAAGTTAGCTTTTACATTGTTTCATGTTTTACATTGTGTCTACTTCACTGTTTTATAGGCAATGGTCCTGCTTCTTTGGACAAGTCTTTTAGGGAGGATAAATATGAAGCGAAGGAGAAGGTTGTAGGTGGCATGATGGATAATCTTTCAATTGACACTACAGATGGCTCCGATGTTGGAGAAAATTTTTTTAGTGAACAAAAATTTTCTAACACGCAACTGGTTGGCCAAGAAGATGTGCCGGAGGAAGATGCCTTTGTGAGTGGCGTTGGTGGTTTGGCATTAAACAATCCTTTACGTGGAAGTGAAACTAAGAGGATGGCCAAGGAGTTTTGATCAAGTGCATGGTTCTTTGCATTACTGTAATGTCATGGTCCAGTGTGTTGGTGAGTATGGAGAGCAACAAAACTTCAGCCAGGCTTCTACATTAAAACATGCAATAAATGATGATTGTGCTGCTTATCATGGTTGGTGCCTACTTCTTTACACATACAAGGTTTTTAACTAGTATTGGATTGTATTATTATTATTTTATTCTTTTCATCGTTCTCTTTTATTTAATTCTGTAGGCTGTATCTTCACAGCTAATGATTTTATTTTTTTCCAGGGACAATGGATTATGTAGCCTCGCAACATAGTTTTGATTTCAGCATTTCAGATATCAATCTGTTTTTAGGAGATGAAGTTCTGAAATCAACTTCAGAAATCTCAGAAACTAATTTTACATGCGAGGATAATCCTGTTGCCAGTGTGATGAAAAGAAAATGAACCAAATTTCAGTTTTGTTTCAGATGAGTCCATCTATGAAAGTGACGAAGTTTTGATGAAGGAAAAAGATGTGGCCAAGAAGTCCCGTGATTGCAGATATTCTGAGAATGAATTAGTTGAGGTTGAGAAATCTAGCATTTGTATAGATGAACCTGCTGACTCAGTTGATCTGAGACTAGACGATGATTTCAAATCTTCAGAAGAAGGTAGTATTACCAAGAGGTTACTTGGAGGTCACAGAAGTGAAGAAAGGATCGGAGCAGCAACAGAACTGCGTGAAAATGTTTTGAAATCAAATTCAATGATGGAGGATCAGTCATCTCAATTCACTGAATTAGCTGTTGGAGGTATTCAGAGCTTCACCGGGAGCTCTACTCATAGATTTTATCTGTATTTTATTATTGAACATATCGACATCTATCATCCATGAATGGTTGGTCTTGTTATTTCCTTTTACAGGCACTGCTGCTGCCGAAGTTGCCGCCGAGATGTGGAGACCAAACTCAGAATCAGTTGAAGTGAGAAACTCACTTACCAAATTGAATTCTACAACAATTAGAAGGAAGAACGAACAAAGTAGTTTGATTTAAAAAACACCCAAGAAGCAAATAACACTTGACATGAAAGAGAATGCACCACCAAGCATCAAGACAGAGCATTTGGGTAGTACAGCTGTGAGATCAACGACAAGGAGGCGTGCTCTTGGGTGCAACTCGTGAATCTTTTTTTTGAGTACCAACGAGTGAAAGAAAGAATTCCGGAGCCCTGCAATTAGTGTGCAGGCATATCTCATGCAAAAGTAATGCGACTTTTTTGGTGGTTTTGACAAATTTTTATGTTGTAATTGCAGATTACTCATAACTTGTGTATGTTTGATTCATAAACAATTTCACTGCTACGGAGAGCTTGATTTTGTGCTCAGTGCATCATTGTTATTTTGCAAAAATGTCAAGAAGATTTATGCTTGTTTGCTAACTACTAATGAAGATGAACATTTTGGAATGATAGTAACAGATGCTAAATTGCTGAGTTTAAATGTCTTCAAATTTTGAATATTACTTGAACGTCACATCATTTTGTATGAATTTTTTGTTTGTATATCATTATAAAATATGATTTTCAAACAGAAGAATGGGCGCTAATGTCTCATAAGAAGTGAAGTTCACATGATGTGAAATCTAGGGGTGCAACTCGGGCAGGCTCAACCCGAGTAACCCGTACCCAACCCGAGTTTTTTTAAGACTTGGGCAATAATATCTTGTAATCTGGACAGGCTTGGGTAGTTTTTTGATGCCCGAATTATCGGGCTTGGGCAGAGTCAGTGGCTAACCCGAGCAACCCGAACCCGAATTGTATTTAATATATTATATAAATTGTATAATATATGTATAAAATAAATTAAATAGCATTTTTTATTTGGACCATTAGATTAAAATTAAAAACAAAAGCCTTTTTTATCTATTCTTTCTTCCCTCTCTCTGAGACTCTTGTGGCTAAGATGATGTTTAAGTTTGTTGTATGGACTAATGGACTTATGTATATAATGAAATACTGTTTGTTGAATGGAAAATTTCAGAAGCTGTTTGTTGTTTGATAAAATTCAGACAATTTGGGCTAACCCAAGTTCGAATTATGAAATTTGGTCCAGGCTTGGGGAGCCATACTCGAGTTGATGGTCGGGCTTGGGCACTGCCAAACACAATTCGGACTGGGCTTGGGCTAACCTCTAACCCGACCGGGTTGCATCCCTAGTGAAATCCACCATTTGTAACATATTTGCGTTTGGTCTTCTATATTACTAACATTGCTGTAGCTCAAAAGTAAGGCATACACTAAAAAGAGTTGAGCTCAATGCTCCACAATCATCAGACAACCCAGTCAACATGCAGAAAATTGAAGGTTTAACAAATTTAAGAAGATTTGGATACTCTCCCAATAAACAAAAAGGCATTTATTAACTTTAATTTTGATAATGCATGCCTCAAAACACTTGACAAAATCCATACCATAAAAACTGCATATCCATTTTAACCAATTAAACTTGAGCACTACAAAAACAGTCCCAGTTTTCAGGGGGAAATAACATATTAATGCAGAGTGAGTATATGAAAATGAGTTAACAGAAACCTGAAAACATAACCTTATTGAGAAGGGAATATATAATAAATTACAAAGAAAGCTAACTTTACGTTCCCTTGGGATTGCAGAGAGACCCTCTGAATTCCATACCTTCCAACCCACCACAAAACCCAAATGTAACAAAAGAATGAATGAAAAAACACTTTCACAGAACAAACATTAATTGTGTTCCGCAAATTACAAATGACCCTTTCTTTGTTTCTTATCTACACAACCCCATCTCACCAATTTCCTTCCCAACTCACTCATCTCTATACTATCCTCATCAATAATCAAACCGTGTCTTGATGTCCTCATCTTCACCCTCTTCTGCAATTCCCAAAACAACCTTTCTACATATAATTCAAACCATCTAAAACTTCTATTTTGTGCATCTTTAGTTACAATCCAACCCACAAACTTCCAATACAATACCTCCTTTTGCCAGAAACGGGTTGATCCGGACCCATAAAAGCGTTAAGATAGAAGCCAAGAGAATAGACCACACCACAATAATGGTGGGAAGCCCGTTCTGTTTCCCCATCAAACCTTTCAAGAAAGGGTAAAGATGGACAATCACCCATAGAGCAAAGAACAGTTTGCCGAACAGTGGGCCCCACGTTTCATACCCATTGTTGATCGCATCCGAAACACCGACAATGACTCCAATTATGTTTATAATCAACAAAGTCATGGGAGGTATCAACAAAGATGTCCACTTGAAGAGGTAAAGCTCAGAATACTCCCCATCGTCTCCTCCTTTTGATGTGACGGTGAAGTTTGTATTGACACCAGCCAAAACTTTCAGAAGACCTTGGAAGAGAGCGAAAAGGTGCGATGATGCGCCGCCAATCACCCAGAACTGCTCGTTTCTCCACCAGTCGTCTATGGTAACGCCTCCCCACTGCATCTCTAAGATACCGGTTGCAGCAATTGATATGAAGAGCGCCATGAATACGATACTGGCATAATTGCTAATCTGTAAATAATACCAAAAGCTTGTTAGACAAAAGCCTTGTAAGGTAAAATCAGCTTTGGGATGGGTTTTGATTTTGGAATTCTGGGAGTATAGGTTGTGTTTGGATCATAGATTTAGAAACAAGAAGGAAAAAGAGAGGTTAAGTGAATGAAATATAAGCGAATTTTTTTCTCTATTTCTCTCGTCTTTACCTTTCCCATTCCAAATCCCTACTCAAATACATGATCCAATCGCAACCTTAAGAAGTACCATAGCTGCTAATGATTTATTATATAATCATTAGAGGAAGCAGACAATGTTTTCATCAAGGCATATTCCAAAATTTTGAATTCAATATCATCTGCATTCTTCGTCTAATGAGAGAATATAGTAGAATAAAATCGATGGCTTGATTTGAATGAATTTCACTGATTAGATCAGCTAGTTATGTTTCTCAAAAAACACAACCCTGCTTTCCAGTAATCATGCTCCAAAAAGAAATAAAAATTTTGAAATTTAGATGACGTGGAGCTCACCTCAGGGACAATGAACTTCCCAGTAAGGAGACAGACAGCAGGTAACGTACAATAAGCGATCAAGGGAATGGATGTCAACGGATAAACAACTGAGTTGATATATGAAAAGCGCTCCAACGGTTTCAAACCACACCCATAGCCATACCAGATCGGACAGTGCCTACTCAAGAGAATCTCAACAGATCCCAGGGCCCATCGAAGGACCTGGTGCAGACGATCTGAAAGGTTAATGGGAGCTGATCCCTTAAATGCAGGTCTTTTGGGCATACAGTACACTGATCTCCAGCCATGGCAATGCATCTTGAAGCCAGTTAAAATGTCCTCAGTAACCGAGCCATAAATCCATCCAACCTAGTACATATAAATAGAATCCATAGATTAAAAGTAATAATAATATTGTCCTCCAAAGAAAGGTTAAAGAATTCTTGAATTTTGAAGCAGTTGATGTATACCTCTTTTCCCCACTCGGTTTTGTCCTCGTAACCACAGCTAATGACATGAATTGCTTCTTTCAAAAGTGATGCAGAAGTTGCACCAGGTGGAACTCCACCTTCCTCTAGCAGCGTTGAAGCGATGAAAACTGGCGACTGTCCAAACTTCTTCTCAAATTTTATTTGGGGCATGAGAGCTGATTTTTCATTATCTATTCCTGCAACCAAGAAACAAAAGACGGTAATGTATGGGTATAGAGAAGTGGGAATAAGTCTTTAGCGCAAAAACAAGTAAATACCATGATTGAATCAAGAAATATTCAAAAAAAAGGGATTGCCTTTCAGGAGAAAGAAAAGCATGTTCTCACAAAGAATTACTTTGCACTACTTGGAAACTACAACAAAAATTGAAAATTTTTTAATACCCCTTGTAGAAACCCATTGCTTACCTTCGATTCCTTCCTCGATATTTTCAAGTGCATGTATTTGTGTTGAAGCCTCCCTGCTCTTTGTCTTCTTCTTGTTATCCTTCGATTTCCCTTTCTTATTTTTCTTTCTAGATCCACAACAGCAGCAACACCATTTAGGCAAACAATTGCACGTCTTCCCTGGAGGTTTCTTTTTGGTGGGAGCATCATAGCCATAGAGTGCGTGCCTCCTGAAGACACAACCAGTTCCAACATAAATTGGCCCTTGGATCCCATCCAGTCCTTTCATATTGATCTGTTTCAAATCGATAAAAAAAAGTATTAGCTTTTCCAAATGGTAGTGTAACATATACATCTACACATCCATATGTATGTGCAATTGTACATATGCACGCTCACATATGTATATATATATATATAAAACATCAAGACTACCAAGAAAGTGCATTACATACATCAAAGAACACAACATTGCGATTCGAGTATCTATCGTGACGATCAATCCCATCAAACCTTTGAGGAAACTGCACATAGCATATTTTCTTCCCAGAGGTGGGGTCCATCATGAAACACATAGATTCACGGAGAGCTTTACTGTTGTTTATATAATGATCACAATCCACATTCAGTAGGTAAGGAGCATTTGAGATGACTGCCGAGACTCGCACCTAGAAAAATTTGTCAAAGTAATAAAAAAAAATCAGAAAACTGGAATTAATTCCAAATGAGAGAGAGAGAGAGAGAGAGAGAGAAAGAGTTTTACCAGAGCATTCATTGCGCCAGCTTTTTTGTGGTGTTCAAATCCTGGCCTTTTCTCACGAGAAACATAAATGAGACGTGGTAACTCGTTTCCTTCAATGTCACGGACACCATTTTGACCCAGGAACACCTGTTGACAAATGAATATCGAATTTACTCAAAACCTCATTATTTATCATAATACAGGCCAAATAGTTTGCAAAAATACAAAAAACACATCATACCTGAATCATTCCGGGATGATCCCTGACATTATTCCCTGGCCATGGTGTCCCATCCTGCATTGTCCAACCCTCCTCGGGAACTTTCTGAGCCATAGCAACCAACCCATTTATCCGAACTTTAAACTCTTCATAGTCCCTCTGTACCAACAAAGTGAAAGCAATCATTAACTAATCCTTACATCTGAAAATTAAACTCCAAAAAACATTTATTGCCCCACAGGATTTATCATCAAGCTTCATAAGTCGTAACTAATTCAAGATGATGAAACTTAGTGAGATCAAACAAGATAGAGTTGTAAACCTTCATTGCACGACGTTCCCTGACAAATGTAGGATGCACTTTGTCTTTTAGATAATCAACTTTCTGAGCAAAATACCACTCTGGGGCACGAGGCTCAATATTGAACTTCTTACAGAATGGTACCCACTTCCTCGCGAATTCAGATGTCTCAGAGAGGGCTTCAAATGTAAGCATTGCAGCACCATCGTCTGAGACATAGCAAGCAACCTTGTCGATCGGATAATCCACAGCAAGGATAGACAGAACTGTGTTTGCAGTGATAAGCGGAGGTTCCTTCAACGGATCAACCGTACTCACAAATATGTCTATAGGAGCTAACTCAGATGGCTTCCCTTCTTTCTCATACCTCAGTGATAGTCTATCGAGGTATGTTTCTCGCTCAATTGGGAACCATTTTGGGAACTGATCAAATATCCATGATACAGCGAACCATATTTCACAAATAATCGAGGTAAGCCATAGTCCATACGCATCATGGACTGGGTGGCGAATCCTATAGTCAAAAAATAATCCAAGAATTGCAAGTCGGAGTAAAATGATCATTCTGTATGGGTTTATCTTGCTTGATGATATTGGTAACTTCCTCGAAAGTGGCTGCCTTCCTTCATCCATCCTAATGAAAAGAGAAGACATAATAAGTAATACATTTCCAAAATCATATATGATTGTGCCTTCATAGACAATCTAGTTCACATTTCAGCTTGCAAATCCATGTGAAATGTCCAGTTAGAATTAATAGTCAACAAGAATTTTCCAAAAAAGTAAACTGCTGATAATTGTGGATGATGTTTAAAATCAACTCATTTGCTTCTTCTTCTTCTTCTTCTTATTTTTTTTTTTTACATAGTAAGAAAACTGGGTTCATTATGCTTGTGATTATATTGAGGCGAGCTAAATTAGTGTTGCTTCTCTTTTTTCTTCTGATATTTATAACATAGTAGAAATTCATGGAGTGTAACTGCCACAATTACCATTAAATTGTACATATTTTGTTCAAGTGCTGAGCCTATACTTACCCCACTAATGGTTATATTAGAGTCACAAAAGAATACTGGTTAATAATTCTTACATTTAAACCTTGAATTACTAAACTAGGCACTTCTTTCTCAATATTTATTTTAATGATCAGTATGACACATTCATGATATAAACTTATTTCCAAGTTGCTTCTACAACAATAATATTTAGAAAAGGTGGTTAAGCTACAAATAAAAAATGTAAAATAACAAGTTGACATGACTGATGATTGTTTTTATATGTCATCAAACCTCACTGCCAAAAGACATTCACTTGTCTGTAAAGCTCTTCCATCAAACAGTGACCCAAAGGTTAGATGAATGAGGAACTAATCTAATGTTACTCGTGACGAATCTAATAATTGACTAATTACAATAAACTTTGAGAAGTAATTTGTTTGCAAAATAACTATTCCAATTGCAATTTTTTTGCATAACTACCGATTCTTTTAGAATAACCACAGGTTCGGAGGCCAGTTGCTCTCCAAACGTAGCTGTCATCCAACACCTAGCTAAAGATTAATTAAAGAAATACATAATTAGTTGTAATCAAAAGACCAACAGCTAATCAATAAACCAATTATTTTATTCATAAAAGTTTTACTTATTTATTTATTTATTTATTCATAAAAAGAGACTTCATAAACTAACAATTAAATATCCATTCTTTTTTATCTTGATAATTTAGTTCCTTAAAATCTACCAAAGTTGAGCTCACAAAAACTAGTCAAAACACTGCCAGGATAATATGTTGAAAAAATAAATGGAAACAGTGTGGACCTACTTGGGTAAATCAGGATCATCCAGCTCATCTCCATCATTGCTCCCACCACCACCACCACCTCCTTCATGCTTAACCACTTGAAGTTTATCATTTTGCCTTCTCTTCCAGTCCTCCATTCTGTCCTTCCATGCAACTGTACCATACCCATACACTGCTAAATCTTTCTTAGGATCCATTGATCTGGGTGGGTCTGTAAGATCAACACCAACAAGTACACTCAGCCAAACAAATTTTGAATTTTTTTTCTTATTCCCCCTAAAAAAAGAGAACAATTTACATCGAATTGAACCAGTAAACTTACAAGAGGAATCAGGAAATGACACAGGGTGGACTCGCTTTCCTCGACCCATCAATGGGGGAATGATAAGAGCATGTTTATCAGAGGAAATCACATCATCCTTCATCAAGAAAATACACAACATTACTATTCAAAACATTCAAATTCCACACCAAGATCAGAATTAAGAGAATTCCAAATCAATTCACCTCTTGGCCGTAAGTCAGGAGAGGGATTTCTGGATTAAGGGTAGAGGACTCCATCTCCGACGGAGTCGAGAACCCAGAAACATGGGATTGGCGACCACGGCCAGTATTAAGGCGAGCAGCGAGCACTGCCTCTGCAATTTGTTGCGGGTCTCTCAGATCATTGGCCCCGAAATCGAATTCGTTATCCAAGTCATCAAATTCTTCTTCCTCTTCATCTCCTTCCACTCTAGGACTCCCTGTTAAACATATAGAATGTTAAATAATTCAGGAGTTTTTCGAAACAAACTAAAGTCAACTGCAAAATGGGAAGAGCAAATTACCTTTGATGCGTTTGTATCTGGTTTTGCATTGAGCGCAAGCTTGATTTCCCTCTCTTCTTTCGTACTCGTAGCAAGGTCTGCAAACAGGGAATGCACATTCGTTGCAGGCAACAAATGGCTCTCCATCCACTGTAATTTCAATCTCATCTCCACAAATTTGGCAAATCTGCCCACTTAATTCCTTCACAGATGTTACCTGTCATACATAGGAACAATCAACATTGTAAATCTGCATCAGATCACATATTTCAAGCTTTCAACAAACCCAATTGAGTTCTGAATTAGCCCATAAGGAAGAACAAGAAATATGCCAGCAATGGAAGTCTTTAACTTGGCTCTGAAACCTAAAAGTACTATGAAGAGTGGAAAAAGAAAATTTGAAACAAGAGCAGAAATGGGTTTTGTTGAATCTGCTAAAGAGCTGAAGAAACAAGCAAGAATGGTTGAAAAATCAGAAAATCCCCAAAATGAGAGAAAATCTAGGGCTGATGTCCTAGACTTGGGATAGCATAAAAAAAAACCAAGAAAATTAAAGATTTGAACTTTTTTATTTCAAGAACAGAACCCCAAATCACATAAACTGAAAATGAGCAAATGGATCAACCCTAAAACTGTAAATGGTGTCTAAAAAACATCTCAGAGAAACTGAGAAGAAAACAAAAGGAAAACATTTCGACGTCATTGACTTCACTAATCTCACAAAGAACCCACAAAAAGTAGTTGAAACCCAGTTCAGAGCTAATGTAGAAGAGCAAATTGAGAGCACTTACTCGTCCAATCTCATCCGCATTGATGAGAACAAACTCGTTCCTGTTGTGTGAACCCGCAATAAGTCTTCCTTTGGTATCCATACCCAAATCCCCAAACCCTTCCAATCGAGAGAGAGAGAGACCTCACAAACACAAATCACTCAAAACCCATCAAGAAAAAACAAAGCTTTTTTTTTTTTTCCTCTCTTTATTTAGCCCACTACTCTCTTATTAAACACCCATCACAAGAAACACCAAACCCAAATTAAAGAATGAATGAAAATGACATAAAAACAGCAAATATACGTATATCTATGTGGTTATTATGACTTAAATATAATACACAATAAATTTTTTTTTAATAAAAAAGAGCTGTCTTCGCTAGCTAGCCAATTTGATTTGATTCCTTTCTTGAGAGAACAACCCAGTTTGAGGAGAAGGTTAAAGACTCCTCTGTGAAACTGGGTTGGCTTGGATCGATGGGTTAAAAAGAAGCTATTTAGAGAATCAGTGCCCACACTGCCAACCCACGGGAGTAGTATAGTAGTTTTAGAGAGAGAGAGAGAGAGAGAGAGAGATGTAGAGAGAGAAGCACAAGGGAGAGTATTGAGGGGGCGTTGAAACTTCAACGCGTAATGAAGAAGGGACAGAGATCGGTTGATGGATCTATGGACTTGGGTTTTTCGGAGTGGGACCCTGATATGGGAAGGCTGGTGGGTGGGTTGTGGTGGTCTGGTTTGGGCCCCACCGGAACTACGGTGGTGCTGAGAAGGAGAGATGAAGGGTAGCTTCGTAAATAACCCAATTTGGTTGGCCCCCCGGGCATTCCCCTCCTCTCCAGCAGTCCTTCCATCCGGCACTATCCAGCAGTTTCAACAAGATTGCGACACGTTGCGGAGGAGTGATCCGAAGGGTTTGAAGCTGCCACGTTGTGAAGGAAGAAATGAATTAAGAAATTAAATTTTAATATTACGATTTTAATTTTTTAAATTTTAAAATATTTTATAAAAATACATTCAAACTCTATTTTTTTAAAATTTTTTTAAATATTTTAATTTTTTTATTATGTATTTGATTACGATTTGAATATAGAGTTGTGAAAGTAGTATGGAGTTTCGAGTTATGTGTTTAGTTATGAGTTTTAAAAATAATTTCTTAATTGAGTTTTGTTTTATGTGTTTGGTTACGATTTGAGTATAGAGTTGTTTTTAAATTTAAAATTTTAAAATTTTAAATTATTTTAATTTTTTAAATATTTAAATTATTTAAATTTTTATGATTTAAAATTTTTGAATATTTATTTTAATTTTTTACTTATTAAATTTTTTAGATTATTTAAATTATTTAAATATTTATGATAAAAAAATTATTTCCTTTGTAGTATTTTCAATTAAAAAATTGATTAATGTTATTTTCTGTTAATAATAAATTAATTTTTTTGGAAAAATGGAATGGAACGGCGTCGTTTTTTTTGGAAAAATGGACCTGTTTTGCTTAACACAGTACTGTTAAAAATTAATTTTTGTTAATTTTTTTAATTTTTTTTATTTGCAGTGAATTTTTTAAATTTTTTTTTTTTACTTTTTTAGATGCATCTTATTAAGATATATCTAAAAAATAAAATATTTGTGAAAAAATACTTTTAAAAATTAATAAATACATAAAAATACAAAAAATATATTGAAACTTTATGGCTCCGTTTGGTAAGACTTTTTAACTATGATTTGCGAATATGGGTTGTATTTTGAGTTTGTGTGTTTTGAAATTATGATTTGAGTGTAGAAAATTTGTTTGGTTATGATTTTTGAATAGAGTGTTGAATTGAGTGTGGAATTGAGTTTTGAAAGTCTGATTTGACATGTGAAGTAAGAAAAATTTGTTTGGTTATGAGTTTTGGAAAAAGTTTTCAAAACTTAATTCAAATTGTTATAACTCATAACAAAACATACTACTTTCACATTATTGAAAATTCTGATCAACACTAATAACCAAACTCATTTTAAAATTCAATTAAAAAATTTTATTATTAACAGAAAATAACATTAATCAATTTTTTAATTGAAAATACTACAAAGGAAATAATTTTTTTTTCAAAATAAATATTCAAAAAATTTAAATCATAAATATTTAAATAATTTAAATAATCTAAAAAATAAAAAATTAAAATAAATATTCAAAAACTTAAAGATCAAAAATTTTAAATAATTTAAATAATCTAAAAATTTAAATATTAAAATTTTAATATTTAAGATTAAAAACACAATTCTACACTCAAATCGTACAAACACATAAAACAAAACTCAATAAGAAAATTATTTTAAAACTCATAACAAAACACATAACCAGAACTCCAATACTAACTTTCACAACTCTCATACTCAAATCGTAACCAAATACATAATAAAAAAATATAAATTTAAAAAAATTTTAAAAAATAGAGTTGAATGTATTTTAGTAAAATATTTTAAAATTAAAAAAATAAAATCGTAATATTAAATTAATTTCTTAATTCATTTCTTCCTTCACAACGGGCAGCTTCGAACCCTTCGAATCACTCCTCCGCAACGTGTCGCATCTATAGCGAAAATGTTACTGCACGACAGATTTATCTCTTCACACACTTCGTTTGAAATATTTTTTTTTCAATTTTATTTATAAAGACAAAAGATAAAAATTAAATAAATTTAATTAACTCTTTAAATTCATTACATTACATTTCAATTCATATTTCTTTTATTCATTTCTCATTTCTTCTTTTATATTATATATTTACTTTTAAAAAGTAATAATCATAGTGTTTTAATCATAAAAAAAAAAATAATGGACAAAGAAATTGAGGTGAAGAATCAGCAAAAAAGTAAAATTGTGAGTTTTTTAATTTATTTTTTACGTTTTCGTTTCTTTTTTTAATAGAGCTGTTCAACTTTTGATCGGAGTACCGGAACCAAACAAAATTAAATAGTCTGAAATCACACTGTTGAACAAAAATGCATAGCCGGTAACCCACTTTCGAACAAAAAATACTTATTTGGAAACTTACTGTTGAACAAAAAGTACATATCTGGTAACTCATTGCCAAACATTTTCAGTTTCATGACATTTTTATTTTTTGTTTTAAAAGATTATGCTCCTACTCATTGTAATAAGGCTAGTAGTACATTGTTAATGGACTATACAGATGAGATTTGTCAGATTTATTTGCTTCCTAGTCACTAGTACCTCCGATAGCAAATAATTGGATGCCCTTTCATTACTTGTGTACTAATGGATGGAAGAAAGTATATACTATCCTTATTGATCAATTTCGTAAGCTTGTCAGCCTTGATATAGTAACTACCAAAACTATCAATATAGATGGATTGTGATAATGTTTTTATAGATGTTTGTATTGACAGATTTTATGAATATTTTTATAGATATTTGTACACTTCATATTTTTATGGATGTTTGATGTTTTAAGAAAAATAAATATATAAATGTGCGATAACAGGTGGCTAGACAAATCTAATTTGTTCGGCAATATGATATTTGAATAATTCAAATTGTTTAGTAATGTATAACTGAATAGACCCATCAGAAATCTTTAAAAATATATATATGTTTTAAGGAAAGTGAATCTGTAAACGTATGACAACAGATGGCTGGACAAATATAGTTTGTTCGGTAATATAACACCAGAGTAATTCAGAAGGAATAAGTATAATGAGAAAAATCTGTAGGGATTTTGAAAAGAGTTAGGACTAGTTTTGGTATTATAAAGAGTGTAATGAGAATTTCAATTTTTTCTTAATAGTGTAATGACAAAATATGTGTAAAGAGGTAAAATTGTGATGTAAGAAAAATTTTCCATTCCATTATTATTGTTTCTCTCTCCTTTAGCTGTCTCTCACGATTCTAGTGTGTTTTTTTAGTGTACAAAATGTTTTTTGTTTTTTTAAATTTGGAACTTTAAAATGCTCAGTTTGTTTGACATTTCTTAAATAAGTGCACTTATTTAAATAAGTGTACGTATTTAAGGGGAAAATTAGTCTAAGGTCCCTCTCCCAATTTTAGTAGTAGAAGAGATCCATAATATTATTTTATGATGTCTAAGGTCCCTCAACTCCACACCCATGTATCACAGAGAAATTTGGTATAAGCTTCAAACCTTCACCTCTCTCTCTCAGACTCATGCCTTACCTCTTCTCTCTCCTCGCTGCGCTGCTCTCTCTCTCTCTCTCGTCGATCTAGCTCGATCAATCCAAGAAGCCCTATGTCAAGAACTCCTTGGCCACTATTGCTCCGATTGAACTGCCGTACGAAGGTCTTCCACCATGGCTCGGCGACGATCTCCAACCACTCTCGAAGCTTCTTTAGAGCGTTGATCTCTAGATCCCATAACCTCTCCTCCTCCTCGCTACAGTCTATGAAGAAAGCTATTAAGAACAACACTGGGTAATGGCTGCAGTTACTGGGTTCAATAGATATATATTTGTTGTGTTTTGGATGATTCAACAGATAAATTTAGGTATTGTTGAATTATTATTATTATTATTATTATTATTATTATTATTTTGGAGTTTATGGATCTGGAACTTAGAAAGAATCACTGTGGTTTTGTGCCAATTTTGAGTAGCATTGAATTTTGTGTTTTGTGCTATCATGTCTTTCAATAGCCAAGCAATTGATTTTATTTTATTGTGTCAATTTTGATATTTTCTATTGTTGTTGTTGTTGTAAGATTGAAACCTTGAGATCTTTGCAATGGTAGAAAAAAGTGACCAAACAGGAGAGATGAATATATATATATATATATATCTCCAAAACACAAGTTTGTCTAGCTATGTTTATTTTCTCTTTGTGTTTTTGGGAGGAGAGGCAGAGAGGGCAGAGAAATTTAAAATTTATTTGGAAATGTAATTTTGTGGAAAGGCAGAGAAATTTCTTTGGGAGAGTGAGAAGTATAAGGAAGGCAGAGAAATTTGGAGAAGGGGAGGGCATAGAAATTTACAGTGGGAAGTTTGGGGAAGGTCAGAGAAATTTCTCTGGACCAATTTTCTCTATGACATGAATTTTCTCTGGATCAACTTGAGGGACCTTAGACAGTATTAAAATAGGAAAAT